AAAAAAGCACAAAGATCGGAATCGTTTCTTCCCATCAATTCATAGAGTGTTTGGAAAAAGTTCGTCGTAAAACCTGAAGGTTAGATGCTTTTCAATTTAAGGAGTGTTAATTGTTGAAAATTAAAACAATAATTTCTAAGGAGTGATATGATTTAGAGTGCAAACAAAAAGAAGCTAAATATTGAACGGTGATAAGAATCAGATTGAAAATGTGAACCATTTTGAGCAATCAGGATTATAAAGTAAAAAGATGTGAAATAATCTTGTAAAACTGCGTGCAAAGCAACGAATTATTCAGAAAAATATTTTCAATAACACTTTTTTGCGTTTTGGAGCGAAACAAAAACACTGCTGACTCAAATAATTTTCTGCTCCTCTGAAACCCACACAACTAAGGTTTTTTGGAACAGAAAGTTAATTTTTTTCTTAAGTTTTTTTGAAAGATACAAACTATGTATACTATATAAACTAGATTTGCGCAAGATAGGGAACGCAGTGTGGCTAGAAATTTTTTTAAAAAATTTTGTTTCCACTGCATTTTGAAGAAATTGGCATCTAAAACTTTGTAAGCGGGCAATTAAATTTTGGTTGACAAAATTGTTCGTTTTTCATCAACTTGCTATTTTTTTGTTTTTTTTTGTTCAATCAGATGAATAACAAGTTTTAATCTATTATAACAAGTTTTTGGTTAATTATTTTTTATTTTTGTGGTGTGGCTCAAGAAAACAGAGTAGAAGTCTAACATCATTTTTTGGCATTGATTTCAGCAAAAAGTTTCAGAAGTAATTTATACTGTCGTTTTTTATATTGTTTTTTTTTCGATAAGCGTTCTTGCGATTTACGGCATCCTGCTAAGAATTTTTTAAATGTGGTTATTTTGCCTTTAGAAAAGATAACTGGTTGAATTTATATTAGCAATGAACTTCGACTAAATTAAAATTTGAAAATATAATCAATATTAGGGAAATTTGAACAAAAAAATGCAATTCATAGATGGCGGAAAACACGAAAACAATCGATTAATTTTCAAACCAAAACTTTGTTGGCATTTCGTTTTGTAAATAGTGCTATCTATGGCTAGTCAACAACAAATAATTGACAATTGTTGCTTTATTGTGCCCTTGTAAAGGCTACCATTTGTAATCGTTTCGTGTCCAAAAATGGCACTGTGATTTTTGAATGACTTTTATTGAACAAATGCTGCAATCTCAGCTTTTACTATAAGACCCCTGAGAAAAAATAATTATCAAAAATCGGAAACTGAATTTGGCGTATCAATTTTTTTTTGTTATTGAGGAAAAACTAAATCTTTTTTCAGAAAAAGCTTTAAAAATGAGGTGATGGTAAAATTTAGATTTTAAATCACGCGAGCTGTACGGCAAAACATTTGCTGATGTGATCTAAATATGAAAACAATAATTTTAACTGAATATCAAATTTAACTGAAAAAAAGCATACTGACACTGAATTTAGAAAAAAGTTTATGAAAACAATTTCGAAACTGTTTAAAGTGTATTTTAAAATTTTTTTTCTGTTTTTTTATCAAATCATTGTGGCCGCATCATTTTGTATAGTTTGAACATTGACTGGCTGTTTTTGTTAAACTTGTTATTATTATGTAATTTTTATATAATAAAACTGACAGGTTAGTGCCACTGACATCCAATTCAAACTTTGAGAGCTTAAAAATTTTTGGAATAGATTTTGAACCTGTGTTTGAACCTGAGATTTAAAGTTTGCGGTGCCTTATTTGCCATAGGAACTTGATTAGCTCATCACCTTAAGTGTTTCCTTTTTGATGTTATTTTGAAACATCCAAGTTTGGTTGGCAATACAAAATGCTTTAATGTGATATGGCGTAGAGGTAGCATAGGGTCAGGTTAAGAACTCCAGGTATTGGGCATAAACTTGGATGGGTACTTTTATTGCGTCATTAACAATCTTTGTATTCTGCATGAGATTCGCCCGGGTATTCTGTGTATAAGCTACCAAGATAATCTGTATAAGTATTAGTGCTCCTTTGCATCACGAAAACATTCACAAAAATTATTCTTTCAATTCTAACAAGACCAGAAGCGGAAATGAGGTTTTAGAACTATTTTTGTTTTTTTGAAGGATTTATTTATATCTTATATAACTAGAAAATAAATAATTTTTTTTATTTATTTTTAATTCAGGAAGATACATTTTAGCCCCTGCCACTTGCACCAGAGAAAAAAAACATGAGCCATCATTATAACTATTAAAACAATTTCAAGGGAGATCTATGTTTTTATCTTACCATTATATTTGCAGTTGTTGCAATTAAGTTTAAAAGATGGAGCAAAAATGTTTTTAATTATTTTAGCTCATAGTTTTTTTACTGCAAGACGATTGTGATCGTGGCCTTCTGAGGTATCAGGACAGCAGCCGTCCATTCTTCTTAGTGTTGA